CGGAACCAAACGACAAGAGCGCCTGGCCTTGAAAATTAAAGGAGGAATTCACGATTAGAATGAAGGTCGAAGAAAGGGAAACTGACCTAGTTGAGGGACCCACGGACCTCCTGAGGGTGCGAACTGACGCGCAATTCGCATGGAAAAATTTGACCTCGGCGACCTATCATGCCTCAAAGCTGGCGGGTCCGGCGATCTCCGCCCACCGATCATCTGATCACTCGCCGTAGTTCAATACGTGGCGAGTGATTAGATAGCTGAGAGAGCGTAGTGTTGAAGAGGGCACAGCGATGAGAGTCGCATCAATGCTCAAATCAACGGGCAAGGAAGGGGTCCCATTTCTCGGGTTCTGGGCCGTTTCTCATGGTTTTCCTTCTTTCGTGTACCACTCACCATCCCTAGGTTAATTTGAAATGGGTTGCTTTTTCATCGTGAATTCGTCCTTTAAAGTCCGAAATGACTTCCGAAGACATACACAGTCAGAGAGTGGTTTCCCAGGGTCAGTTCGTTGAGAGCTTGATGTTCTCATCCTTCTATCCAGCCTAGCATAAAATCACATTTGCTTTAGTATTAATAAGTTAGTGGGATCGCATTTTGCTAATGCGATCACACTCCGTTATTAATAATGAAACATTTCTAAACGCACCAAATACCCACGCACGCCTCACCCTTTTTTTTTAAAGGCGAATTTCACAATGAAAAGGTTCACCTATTGGAGATTAGGTTCGAGATGGCCAGTGAGTAGGGTGAATACCGGTCGAGGATTTCCCAACGGCATGTCGAGGATTTTCGCTTGATCAGTTACGTTCTCCCGCGCGTACCTTCACTCTCGCACTACTCTCGCAGTACCATGGTCGAGGAATTCCTCGACCGTTATTCACCGTGCTGATGAGGAAGGAAAGAATAAAAAACAGAGAAAAATGGTCTACAACCCGAAAAACAACCACTCGTCGCCCGCTGATTTGAGCATTGATGCGACTCTCATCGTTGCTGCCGTCTTCAACGCTAATGATCTCTCTTCTAGGACGACGCAAAGTGCGGCCTACCGCCCCAATAGCGCGCCGATTGGGCCGCGGGAAGGCTATGCTAGGTAGTCGCGGGCATCCTTTGATGCGAATTGTGTGTCTGTCCACACCCTTGGGAGGTCGGCCTGTTTCTCCCCTAGGTAAACTTCCCTTCCTCGACCTTTGTCCTTATAGTGGAATCCTCTTTTAACGCGTTCCGGCTTTCATCTCAAAACTTTCTAGATTGAACTGGCGTGAAGACGAGGGAAGATTTCCCTAAGTCTCGGAGGAGTGTATGTAACGCGACACCCTTGACCATTGATCTGTCTTCGCCTCTTT